GTTGACCTCATATCGATGGCTGCAATAAACTCTTCCCTGACTTGCGTATGTTTTGAGCCACCATTGGTTCTGAGGATATGACCTTGTCTCCTCAGAACACAGTGAGAATCTAGAGACCACTGTGGGGTTTGGGGGCATCTCATTTGTGTTTACACATTGAAGTGGTTATCAAAGATTAAAGGTCTAGGCTGTGAAGTCATGTCTGTAATGTTTCAATGGAAGCAAAACATTAAGGGTTTCATACTGTACTATATTTTTAGCATAGAAGATAGAAATATATGAGGCAGATAAATATCCTAGAGACTGAAAGCATTCCTTGGCTAAATTTCTACACTTCATGAAAAGCAGTATCAGAATTCACTTAGTTATATATGCTAACGTGAGAAGCGGGAACTATTTCTTTTAATTTAGTCTAAAACTATTTACATGTTGTACATGCTTAGTCAATGTGAACGAACACATAATGTCCAATTGAGAGCGGGTCTCAGTACTCCACAGCCCCGGTAAACACCCAGTCCTTGCTTTGCAGAACAGGGCAGCCTGTTCCCTCACCTAGGTCTGCTATTTTCAAGAGGTATTGTTAGGCCAATCAGATGCGTCTCCTAAGCCTTTTCTGTGTAGAGAACCTTTTGATGAGGAGAGATAGAACTCACTAGAGTGATAATTAGATTGTCAACACAGGCATAATACAGTAATTTGCTAATCCTTCCTGGGTGTTAACTGTAGGAACATTAATCACATAACACGTGCATATTTTACTTGGGTTAGTTGCACATATGTATTATCTCTTTAAAAAAAAAAAAACAAAATTCTTGACATACTTAGCCAAAGAGATTGTTTTGGAATTCATTTGAATTTTGTCTGAGTCAATATTTGATATTTAATGTGAGTATCAGCACTACTGGGGTCTAAATGTATGAGCTCTGATGGATTAGTTTTAAAGCCATCAAAGGAAAATTCTTTATAATTATTTAAAAAAAAACTTGGGAAAATCTTTGCCTGCAATTAGTGTATAGTCCAGGAAAAATTATTCACAGGTTTGGCAACTAGTTTATCTTAAGAACAAATATATTTAGGTGTCACTGATAAGAATGGTGGAACTGTGTCTCGATGCACGTACTAGAATTTCCTATCACCTCACAAACGTCAGAGCTATTAGACAAGATTAAAATAGGGCACCAGTGAGAGGTGAGGGTGACCAGGTCTTCAGGGAGGTGAGCTTTCTCTTATCTGATAAGTAGTTTCCATTCTGTTTCTTTCTCTCCTCCTCATCCTCCTCCTCCTCTTCCTCCTTCTCCTTCTTCTCCTTTTTTTCTTTTTCTGCCAGATTATCAAAAGCTTTTTGCCTGAGTAGCAATGATCCAAGTGGATTCAGGAACGAGATTAAAGGTAGTTTCCAAATCAACATAATCTATGATATTCTTAGTGCTGCTCTTTTGGTTTCTATCAGCCATAATTACTAATATTTTCTTGCAGCTCTTTATTATCCAAGTGCAGACTGTAGCCAGTGTTTCAGCTGTGCTGTCACAGAGTCTTCCTGTGTGCTGGCAGTGTGTGGGGAGACGAGGCTTGGAGGTCCCAGCTATCTTGTCAGATGAGCAGAGTTGGAGTCAGAGGCTGGGGCCCAGTCTGTCAAGCTGAAGTCACCAACTAATGTTTCAAGTGATTTGCTATTTTAAATATTCAGCATAGAGATGCACATGTGAATGTACCAATCATATTGTGTATGTATTTACCATTCCATATGTAGAGGATTTTCATAAATACATGTACTGTCTCATTTTTAATAGTCTCTTCACAGCTCTTTCTGCTTTACCTTCACCTGTGCAGAAGTCAGCTTCAAGTTTCTTCTGTGGCTATTCATGGGGGAGCCAGGCTTAGCTTCTGTCTGGCATTCAGTCTGGATTGAATGTTGACAATTGTACTGTGTTACATGTTAAATTTTAATGAATTTCTTATGAAATCAGTTATAGTTCGAGGATACACTTAGATAGCAAAGTGCAGAATCATAGTTGCTCCACTAAGAAAATACTCACATTTTATTAGGAAAAGACTTAATTAGCCTTAATACAGTTTACCCGTGGCATTTAGTGGTAGATTATTGGCTTTAAAAATGTCACTTGGCTGGAGTAACAGTTAATTAGAGGTTTGAGATGTCTAGATGGCGTGTCACCTCTGCACAAGTGCTGGCCAGCCAGCTTTTGCCATAAGAAAGAGCGCCGTCAGCGAGCACGTGTGCTGGTGACAAGAGAGGAGTCTGACCTGCAGTATGCACCTCTCACAGAGTTGCTAATTAAAAGAAAATGTCTCATGCATTTCCGCGTGAACAAAGGTGAACACAAGGGGCTGTAAAGTATAGCAGGTTTTTGCTTCACATCCAGCATTTAGAAATCCACCTCTTGACGTCAATTTGATGTCTCTAGCTTTCTAAAATTCTCAGAATCTAAAACCCATTTGGACTGCCTCCCTTGCAGCGTGGCCCTACAGCGTGGCCATTGTTTCCCATAATTTCCTTAGTGTCTAGACAGCGTGGCTTCCATGCATGCACTCCCATGGGACCGTGGTCAGCGGAGTGGCAGCTAGGCCTGTGCCCTCTGCGGAGTGGAAGAGCTGGGGAGGCCTGCGAGGCCTGGTGTTGCCACTGGCTAGAGCCCCCGCTGTGGGGAAGGGAGGGTCTCCAGGTTCCTCCCCAGGACGCAAAGGCCCTCGCGCTTCTACTATTTCTTACTCTTTTAAAAAATAGTGTTTTGTTTAAATTTCCAAAACTGTTCTACTTCATTTGTCCTCTACTCTTGAAACTTCGTTATGTAAGTGAGAGAAGCGCCACACCCGAGTGCTGTCAAGGGTGCCCTGCCGTGCTTCTGGTCCACGCTGCCTTTATCTTTCCACGCACACGCTTTCCTACAGAGAAACTGCTTCCAGCTGCCCTGACTTCTCTCGTCACTTCCTTTCTTTTTGAAAAACTTTCTTTTCACCCATCATACTTTTTTCTTCCTTTTTTTGTTTTTCCACACTGGGGCTTGAACCCAGGACCTTCTCCTTGAATCCTTGAACCACACTCTCAGATTTCTTTCTTTCTTTCTTTCTTTCTTTCTTTCTTTCTTTCTTTCCTCCATTCCTCCCTCCCTCCCTTCTCTCTGTCTCTTCCTAGAGACTGAGTCTTGCTAAGCTGGTGGAGAGCACACTGCCTCTTTATGGTCCTGCCTCAGCTTCCCTCAGTGGTGGGATTATAGGTATCATTTGTCTGGCTCATTTTCATCACCTTTGACTGCATTGTAATTAAATTGCAGTGTGCAGATGTGTTGCAACATAGTACTACTGAAGGTTGACATTTGGCTCTTGGCTTTGACCTGTTTAGATTTTTGTAGGAATGGAGACCTTTCCTAAGCTTCCTCTTCCCTGGTCCAATTTCTCACCCTTCTCAGCCCATTATACTTTATTTCTATCTAACAACTGATAAGCAAGACCATTGCCCCGTGTGCATAGTATGGAGAATTAGACTGCATGTTTAGCCCAGGAATTCTTAACCGTGTTGTGCCTAGTGCGCCAGGACTGCAATAGCATGTATCAGTGGAGCATAATAAAATGTTTTCTTTCAAATTTTTGTTCCTTTAGCTATTCTAGTGAACATATATGCATTTTATGCAAATAGTTCTAAAAAATTTTCAAACTTTAGCTTAAATAGGTTTAGTTAAAATCTTCCATTAGGCAACATACTGTAATCACTGGTAATATTTACATAATAGCTTTGAAAATGGGCAGATTAGGGCATTAAATTTTAAGCACAGAAAGCAGTACACTAATGTAAAAGCTGGCCTAAAGCAGTGCTTGGATTATCCAGTATGGAGTGGGTTTCCGCAGAGAAGCAGGCACAGAGGTGGCGCTTAGGGAGCGACCGCGGGCTGCAGACACCAGCAGACCGCTCTGGGGTCACATTCAGCCTGCTCCTGCAAGCTCACCTGATCATTGTGACTCTTGGGGAGGGAGATCTTAATGCATTTACACTTACTGTTTGGCCTGTTCCGAGTTCCAGGTGAGTAGACAGCCATAGCCACAGCAGAAATCCCATTACAAATGTTCCAGGCGTCAGTCAGTGCGGCTTATGAGCAACAGCACCTTCAGTCCTCCCAGCGGCCCTCGCAGCAGGCTTGCGTACTGCCTACCCCCACCAAGGGTTGCGAGACCTTGCTTTTCCCAGGGTTGCCCCGTGAGTCTGTCGCAAGGCCTGGTCGCCAGGAGTCCTGGCTCTTGGCTCTGTCCTTACTTGCTAAAGATGTTTGGTTCTCTTAAAATCCCATCACACCAGAATATTAATGTGAAGCTCAGAAATACAAGGAAAAAAAAGGTTGGGGAAGGGTGAGAAGCATATGTACAGCGAGCGGCTAGCTTACGGGCCCAGATATGTGTCCCCAGCCTCTGGTGAGCATCGGAGGAAGATGTGTGGGCTGGATTCTCGGCCTACCTGAGCGTGCGAGGTAGGAGAACCAACTAAATGCTGGAGGAAGTCGGGACCTGAGAGCTCGCTCTTAGGTGATGCCCAGAGGAAGGCAGTGCGTTCTACCAAGGGCAAGCTGAGCTTCGCGGCTTTTGGTGAAAGCTGAACATGCTGCTGGGAGGTGCCGAGCGCAGAGCTTGCTTGCATTCGTCCGCCTACGTCCCTTCCTTTCCACCTTCTGAAATATGTTATGACGGTTCTTCCTGAGCAGGACTCTGCAGACTGGATTAAAACCTGAGTCATTTGCAAGAATGTGCTCATAGATGTTATGGGTGACAAAGAGGAGTGTAGGCAGTGGTCTTGAGGACGGTGCTGTGTTTGGCTAATGAGTGAACACAGTAGTTCGCTTGCTGGATGACTTAAGAGTCCATAAAGCATACAAAAGCATTGTCTTCTGCTTTCTGTACCCTGCTGATTGATTAGAGAATCCAAGTGCTTTGTGTAACAATTATGTGTTCATGGGGTCATTTGAACACCAGGATTTACTGTTCCTTTTCTTTTTCAGCGTCTGGCTTTGAAGGCAGAGAAAGTGCAGGCGGCCCACCAGTGGCGAGAGGACTTTGCGGTAAGGACGCTTTCACCCGCTTGGTTGACGTCCAGTGATGTCTGTGTGTGCATAACCAGGCCCACAGTGAGCTACTCAGTGGTGAGGGAATCCTCACTGCTTCAGGACCCCAAGTCCGTCTTGCTTTGCTCTTATTTTCTGTAATTTTGTGTAATCCAGGCCAACTATGGTAGGAACTTATATTAAAAAAGAAATACAAGTGCCTTAAAACATTCTCCCATACATGAAGGTATTTATAAAATACATTAAAATGGAATTAAATTACACGATCTGAACAATCTGTAGTTGTCATGAATACCTGGGTTGAAAAGCAGGGTACTACTTGAGGTTCTTACAAGCCAGGTGTATTTCATAATCATCCTGGTGGGGCAGTGAGACCTAAGGGAGAAGGTATGCGTCCAGCCTTTGGTAATGTAATTGCCTCACTGGCAGAAGTATCTGCTCTGCTCTGGCCTCCTTTTGGAAATGCCAATTGGCATTAGTCCCTGCTTTTTCTCTCTTTCTCTCTTTCTTTCTTCCTTCCTTCCTTCCTTCCTTCCTTCCTTCCTTCCTTCCTTCCTTCCTTCCTTCCTTCCTTTCTTTCTTTTCAGAACCAGAGATTGAACTCAGGCCCTTGCATTTACCAGGGAAGCACTTATTCTACTGAGCCATCTCCCCCACCGTGCTTTTTTTCCCCTATAAACTAGTTTTATGATCAAAGGGCATTGGTTTCATTGTGCAAATAACAGACATGCATGTTGTGATAAGCTTAGTCTTTCTATCCCCTTCTGTCCTCTACTGTCCTTATTCCTCAGCTCATATACTTCTGTTATGTATTTGAGTTATTGCATTTACAGTGGAAAATGCCTTTCATTTCTGACCACTAAAAAAATCCATGCATTTCATTTTAGGGAGGTGAGTTTCCCTTGTAATCCGCTCCTTACCATGTGATTGACAGCTTGACTGTATTTTGTAATGTCCTATGAAACATGTGTCAGGTTTAAAATTGAGCTTTCTTAGAACACTGAATGGAGACTTAGAAGTTAAAACTTTTACTTTGATTTTTGTTGTGTATCAAAGGAAAACACACTGAATGATATTTCATTCACTGATAGTATTTAACCTTCCAGGCTTGAAGCTTCTGATAGTACTTTTTTTTTTGCCTTTTCCACTAATTTATAAGCTCATACATAGTCCACTAAGTAGAAACTACGTGATTCCTGTGCATTTGCAAGTTGATCATAATGCCTGAGTCACTGGCATTGTGTAGGCCTGCTTTTGTCCAGCTCTGTCCACTATGGTTGTTAATAAGGATGAATTTATCATCCATAATAAAGAAAAAAAATCAGTGACCAAGTTAAAAAAAACAGCCCTGTGAATACTGAGGACTGTTAGCTCATGCAGCGATGGGGTTGGGTTAGATAGCTGTTTTAGTTGCTATGAAAATAAACTGGAGGGGCTGGAGAGATGGCTCAGTGGTCTAAAGCGCCTACTTAGAACAAGCTTAGCAAAGCACAGGGACCGCGGTTCAATCCCCCAGCACCACATGCCAGCGAGCTGCGCCCCCTGGTGGGCTGAGCTGGCCACACACACACACCACACTCTCTCTCTCTCTCTCTCTCTCTCTCTCTCTCTCTCTCTCTCAAATAAATAAAAAAAAATTTAAAATTAAAAAAAAAAGAAAATAAACTGGAGATTATTCCAATAGACAAAAAAAGAAAATATTTCTCCACATAAATATTTGATTACTGTTACATAGAAATCACTCTTCTGTCCTCCCTGCTCCCAGGAGATAACAGCATGGTCAGGTAACGTGTATATGGGAAGAGAGACAAATTCCACCTGGGGTTGGGCTCGTCCAGTTGGTGCCCGTTTAGTATGAATCTTCTATTATTAGGAAGCCCAAAAGATCATTAAGATGCATAAAGTCAGCTTCTGTAATATACAGCTTATACGTGTCTACGACTCTGGTTTTTATTAATGTCATCTGGTGGTATTTCAAGTAGTTACCAGGAAAAGATAACCTGGAAGTCAGGGTCGCACGCATAACTTTTACATCCCTGAGAGTGTTTTCTTTACCTCTTATTTGTTCCCCTCGCCCCAGCCTCATATTTCTTCCCAGACATGCTGTAAGCCCTTGCGTCCGGTGTTCGTTGACACTGATGCAGCATTTTGGCAGTGGCTCTTTTTTCTCCTTACAGTAGTAATGGGTGACCATTACTCATGATACGGCACTTAATGCACATTTGCTATTAGCTTGCTTTATTGCATCCAAGCCATCAGCCACTGTAAGCCATTCTCATTTTGTTTCCTTTATTGTCAGCGTCTAACTGTGATGTGCTAGTCGTTTTAAGCTGTGTTCTTAGTTCTGAGATTTCCAAATGTGAAGAACTTTACCTCGACATGGGACCCCTAATTCAAGACTCTCAGTGACAGAGTAGAACTTTGAGAAAAAGTTATGCAAGATTGCAAATCAACCCCACAGTGAACACCCCAAAGCCATTACTGTAAAACAAACCTTCTTGCCAGTGTTACATGTTCTTAGCAAGTAGTGGTCACCATATGGGAGAATTCTTGAACAAATTCTGATTTTAGTATGCCCATAGGTTAGTTCAGATTACTTGGGACTTACGACTTTCTTGATGTGCAGCAAAAGAAGACACTAAAGGGAAGAAGGTTGGCCACCAGCAGGCCCTGTCAGTCCATTTCTCCAGTGTGTGTGAGGGGCCACGGGTGTTGCTCACAGGACCCAGATCGGTTCCTGCTGCACACTGAGGATTGAAGCGTCGCATAAGTGAGCATGCCCACCATCTACAAAGTCTTCCAGTAACTCTTCCCGGTGAATCACCGTGGCCTGACAGAGCGCTGGAATGGTAGTGATTTTATACTTGGAAAGTGCAGCCTGCATAGAAGGAAAATACTGGGCCAGACAAATAGCTCAGCGGATTAAAGCACCTGCAAGCAGGCTCAGGGGCTGGGGGTTCGATCCATTGGCTTGCCGTGCTGGCCCCACTTCCGGGGCACACTGATATGGCAGTTGAGACTGGGCGTGGTGGTGCATGCCTGCAATCCCAGCTTTTTTTTTTTCTTCAGTAATTTTATTGAGAAACAAATAACAATGAGATAGTTTGAAAGCAAATTGGTAGGACATTTTCAATAATTAACACATTTCATACAGTCTTCCTAATGGTTAATTGCTGTACAAGATGTGGACATGATATCCTATTTACAAACACTATTAGAACAAATCCTTCTATTCATTAACAGAATGTAGCTATATATCTATCCTAACCATTTTGTATACACAGATACAAAATGAACATTCATCTGTATCTCTTTTTTTGTTAAGTTCCATTATATGAATATTATAGGTGTGTCAACTCAGCAAAATATTCTAAAAGAGTCCAGTAGTCCATAATGGGTCTTCTGCTTGATTGGCAATGTCAGAAATTGTTGACCTGAGTCCCCTACAGCTCAACATAACAGCATGGCTTTACTTCTTACACTTCATTTTTATACTTTTCTCCTGGATGGTTAAGACCAAGGTAAAGCAGGACCTATGCAACAAGAGTTGTAGCTTTTGGGTCTGATAAGGTCAGTGAAATTCCCTCAGAATTTATCCTGAGATCTTGTACCTCAGATTATAGATCCTTTGTCAGTGTCAGCCATGTGGATGAGTCACGGTCATTGCTTGGCCAGTGTGCTCTCTGTGAAAGCCTGAGAGAATGTTTTCTCTCCAATCCCAGCTTTTGGAAGGCTGTAGATAGGCAGACTACTATGAGTCTGATTTAGTAGTGAGACCCTGAATACCCTGTAGACCCTTCCCTAAAATACACATACACACACACACACACACAAAAAAAAGGAAGAAGAAGGAAAAATACCAAAGTAAGACACAATTTTCCTTTTCCCCACTCCTGACAAAGTAGATGGTGCTGTAGTGTGTAGTCACAGAAAAGGCCATCTCCAAGGCTGGAGTACAGCTTAAATTGATGGCCAGAATTACAAACATTGATTCTTTTACATTGTGAGAATGCATAAAACAGTTGAAAATTTTGTTAGTATTTTAATGTATGCGCTGTGTAAGGCAGCACTTCATCAGTGTTTTAATCAATATTTAAAAATATTTAACATTATGCTAAATGCTGCAACCTTCTCAGAGGTTCTCCATTCCGAGTCTTGTAATCCTTTTTATCCTTCATGGTATTTAACAGTTTTCACCCATGCAATAGACTTTTAATGCCATCCTTTAATAATTTAACACTAAGATGATTTAGAAGTCAGAAATAATTTCCTAAAAGTTACATTAACATTTCAAATAGAAATACAGTATGCGGCGTCTCCCCTCAACTATCAGTGGGAAGGTTTCATTACCATGACTTTGGCAAATGTTGGTTACCATTCCCTGCTGTGCAGTGCAGAAGCATCGCATGGACAGCCAGAACAAAAGGCAGGATGCTACATGTTGGCACAACAAAGGGCTTGGGCCATTCATCTCTCCTCAGCTCGCTGAATTCCCCACTGACGCACGGTCCAGGAACAAAGGCTGTGCACGCTAAATGGATTAAGATTTATGCAGTCGTGCATTTACAAGTTCAAACCAGTATTTGTAAATAAGCGATGTCTACCAGCTGCCGTCAGGTCAGAGTGCAACTCATGGATGTTAAAGGTGACATTTCGTGTCATTTATGATAGATAAATTATTTTGTTAAGGGGAGGTGGGAGAAAAGGAGCCAAGAATACTAACTGTTCCACATTAAATAATTGCTATTATTTCTACCAAACAGATCCTTTGTAATTGCATTTGAAATTCATTTGATTGAGTTGCAATGGTTGGTTAGCAAGGCAATTTCATTTCCAACTAGGCCTGTCGCATTAATTGTACTTACACATGTATAAACTTAAGAGGTGCCTAATTTGTATTTTAATACCTGGGATCTTAATGTATAGCTCATTATTGCCAGCATTGTAAGGTGCAGGCTGAGTACAGATATCTAGAATTGGCCAGTAAATAAAGCCTT